AGAACAGCGCTCTATCTCTGCGTCTTTTTTATGTCTGCATAATATTAGATCCTTAGCGTATAGCACATTATCTTCTTTTTCATGTCGCACACAGAAATCTGAATGTGAACATATGCGCATTTTGTCGTATGTGAAATAAAGAAGATACGCTGTACGCTAAGACTCTATTGTAAAAGAAAAAGATACAGACAGCATAAAAGATTTGGTCGTTTTTTTACGTGTTTTTTCAGCTTTATAATCAATAGCATTTTATTTAGACAGCCTGGCAGACAAATGAAAATAAGCGAGAGAATGGAGAAGGTTCACGAAAGAAAGAGAATATTGATAAGTATGTGAACGATGACAATTTGTATTGCATTCACTTTATTCGTTGGCTTGTCTGATTTATAACTCGTAATTTTCGTTAAACACAAAACAAAAATGTCTTCGCAAGCAATTGGTATTGACTTGGGAACAACTTCATCTTGTGTTGGTGTATATCAAAATGGAAAAGTAAAAATATTAACTGATAGCCATGGAAATAGTCGAATACCGTCATATGTTGCATTTACACAGACTCAGAAATTAGTTGGTGAACAAGCCAAAATTCTTGCAATAAAAAATCCGTTTAGTACGTAAAAACTATAATTGTTTTATTCTCCATAAATCGACAAATTTTTAATATTTATAGATACAATATTTAATGCCAAAAGATTAATTGGAAAAACATACAATGATCCAACAGTGCAGGCTGATATGAGATATTGGTAAATAGAGATTAACAAGAACAAAATATACTTTGTTCTTTATTAAATTTGTCCTATCTTTAAGGCCATTTAGAATAATTAACGATGATGGAAAACCGAAAATACAGGTTGAATACAAATATGAAACAAAAATATTTACACCAGAACAAATATCATCGATGATATTAACGAAACTAAAACAAATTGCTGAATCTTATTTAGGTATGTTTTTTTCAAACTAAAACACGCTAGTGAGAGATTTAACAGATAGAAAATGAATTGAAACTATCATCGTTATACGACGACTGAAAAATATATTGTAAACAGAAAACTCATCACATTTTCGACTGTATAAAGCAACTTTGTAGAAATAACAGAGCAGAAACCAGTAAAGTAGAGTGTGGCCACTTACGAGAGAACCTCCTGAGGTGCTAAAAACCTTTTTGA